ACTGTGTGGTTTGGTGTGAGGCTGTGCAGGGATTTTTTGTTCTCCAGGAGCAAAAACGAGTGGCAAGGGGCTGGGAAGGTGGCTCAGTGGTATAGCGCTTGCCTTGCATGCATGAGGACTTGACTTCGATTCCTCAGCACCACATTAGCAGAAAAAACAGGAAGTGGTGCTGTGGCTCAAGTGGTAGAGCGCTAGCCTTGAGCTGAATTGCTGAGGGACAGCACCCAGGCCCAGAGTTCAGGTCCCACAACCGACCAAAAACAAAAACAAAAAAAAAAACAAACAAAAAAAACGAGTGGCAAGAAAACTTTTTGAAGTATTTTCATAAAGATCTTGGCAGCTCAATTAATGCTTATATGGTTCTTAAAACCTCCCATCATCTCAAGGAAGAGATAAGAATAAGCATCATAGTGAGGATTCAAAGAGACTGGTAGTGGGGAATCTGAATTCTGGTTTTGAATGACTAGTTTTGTAGGGACTGGGAAGAAACACAGGTCAAAATATTCAGGATTATCCAGGTTCTGGTAGCTCACACCTGTAATCCTTGCTATTCATGAGGCTGATATCTGAGGATCGAGGTTCAAAGCCAGCCCAAGCAGGAAAGTCTGTGAGACTCTTATCTCCAATTAACCACCAGAAAACCAGAAGTGGCTCTGTGGCTTAAAGTGGTAGAGTGCTAGCCTTGAGTGGAAAAAGCTCAGGGACAGCGCCCAGGCCCTGAGTTCAAGCCCCATGACTGACCCCCCTTCCCCCCCACAAAAAAAAAAAAGTTCAAGGAAAGGGCTCAGCTAGACACCTATCATCTTTTTTGGTATTGAGTTGTGGAAAATCAGACTTGTTTCAGAATTCACCTTGAGGCTTCGGGGTGGTGGGGAGTTCTCAGGAAGTGGGAGAATTGAGTTCATATCCCCAATCCCATTTTGGGATGTCCAGTCTTGGTCCCCACTCTAGGGACAAAGTCTTGAGCTACGTGGACTGTGCCTGCGACAAATCATGTGTATTCCTCAACAGATAACTCTGTAGAACCACCTCCCAGGATAGTGTTCGTCCCCGCTCATTCATGGATAACCTATTTAATTTACATAACAGATAGGAGAAAGAGAAGAGCATAGACAACGCCATCTTTGAAGCCAACGTCGAGGCCTGCTCCAAAGTAGAGTCAGGGTAGAGAGCAGGGCTCAAGAGATGGTCAAGAGGAGGGCTGGTTAGCTTGGGTGCCTGCAGGATTCTAGGAGGTAGAAGCATGCTCCCTCTGTCCCATGTCAGTGCCCGGACAGACTTAGACCTTCCTGTGTTCCGGTTCAATGCTGAGATTAATGAAGGATACAACAAAGAATCTATATTTCACTCTCAGCCCACCTATGCTGTGCACCTACCTCCCAGCCCTCATATTGCACAGGTCCCTGTCTCTACCTTTGCCAGGTTCCAGAGGTTGGGATTCCTGGCTTCCTGACATTCCCCCATTCCCATTGGACATCTATGTATCAGGCCCTGAGGCTCTTGAGGCTCTGAGTTCAAATTTCAGTATGATGATGATGATGAATTGGATAAATGACTATTTTGAATAAAATATCTAGGGCTTGACAGCCACAATTCATACTAGGTGCCTGTGGCAAAGTAGTGTCAAACTGGAGACATTCACTTCCTGCCTAGGTGGAAAACTGAAGCTTTTTTTTTTCTTTTTCCTTTCTTCCTTTCCCACCCCCTCTCCCTTCTTCCCCCCTCCCCCACCTGGTACTGGGGTTTGAATTCAGGGCCTTGGCTTGCTAAGCCGGCACTCTATCACTTGAGTCACATTTCCAGCCTTGCTGTTTACTAGTTATTTTGGAGATAGAGTCTAGGGAACTTTTCTGCCCAGGATGGTCTAAAACCACAATCCTCCAAACCACAGGATTATAGGCATGAGCCACTGGTGCCCGTTCTCCTATTTTTTTAAATTTGGTACTATTTTCAAGAAACTTAGAAGATGTTGGGGACCACCAAAGAAGGAGAGGAACAGGCTTTACCTTCAGTACCCCTGTATTCCTTGAATAGAAGCCACTAAGGGGATTTGAGCTGGGCAGACACCCTCAGAACTGTGGAATGTATATATACAAGACAGGTTGGAGTGTAGAAACTATGAGGGGGAGGGCCCAGATTTGCCTCCGTGGAGGCGTTGGGTTGTTATTGTGTGTGAGGAGAGGCTATGTCAGTTGGAATTAGCAGGAAACTGGGACAAGGGACACTGCTTGGGGCCAGTCCACCTGCGCCTCACTGCCCTGTTTGACCCCTGGATGCTGAAGAGTCTGAAGGAGGTGTCTGTTCCTTCCAGATCCGTGGGGAAAGAAAAGACCGCTTTAAGCTGTACCTTCTTCCCTAGTGTTACGTTGATCCATCTTCACCTAGCTGGCCTGTGTTGGGGCAGCTGGGCTCACTGGGGACTCTGATCTGCCAGTAGAAATTTCTTTTCCACCCAGCTCCTCACAGATAATGTTTCCTTAGTGGTCAGATGTCTTGGTCCATTTCCTGCTGCTGTCATATGCTACAGACTGGGTCATTCATAAGCAAGTTTATCTGGCCAGAGGTTAGTGAGGGAAGTTGGCGAGGACCCTCATCCTGGACAAATGTAGAAACTCACAGAGAGGAAGGCCAGACTCACCTTCTGGCCAGAGCTGACTTCAGGGTCAATGGCCCATTTTTGCTATAATGTCATTTGTTCATTCATTCATTCACTTTCTTTATGTCATGCTGGGGTGGAACCTAGAGTCTTGCACATGCTGGGCAAGTACTCTGCACTGGGTTACATTCACAGTATAGCATTAATGCTTTTCTCTTCTATGCCCATCCTCAGGTTTGAACTTCGGGCTTGAGCACTAGCCCTAAGCTTTTTTGCTCAAGGCTAGAGCTTTACCACTTGAGCGACATCTCTACATCTCCTTTTTTTTTTTTTTCCTGATTAATTGGAGATAAGAGTTTCATGAATTCCTTCCTGGGCTGGCTTCCAACCTTGATCCTTAGATCTCAGACACCTGGGTAGTTAGGATTACAGGTACGAATCACCAGAACTCAGTTGATGATCTGTTTTCTTAACTGCCAAGTAAGAATGACAGAGAACCATCTGGAATCAGCCATCCCGGATGGGTGGTCCTCAGTCCTCACCTGGTGACTTAGACAAGTGACCTGTGCCTTGGTTTACTCATCTGTCACATGGGAACGCTGGCCTGCTCTTGGGAGGGTTAAATGACTGGTTGAGTTCCCACCCAGATCAGGTCGGCAGGGGAGTGGCTGTGGCTGTTTAGTCTTGCCTGGCCCCCTCCCCCTATTTTTCCTGCTCTCTTGGTCCCTGTGGCTCTGCAGGTGTGGGGGTTATCCCCTTGAGGACAGCCCTACCCACTCACACCTAGGTGGACCGGCCAGGCTGCATAGCTGAGTGACTCAGCTTAGCACCCCAGGGCTGGGGAGGGGTGGGCTGCCTAGGCCTGTTTCCTCACCTTTTTGTCCAGCCCCCTGCTTTGGGGCGTGTCTCACATACCCCACCATAAAGGAGTGTATTTGAGGCCAGAAAAAATAGGATCACTTAGACTTTAAACTTAAGCCTTTTGGAGACCACATTGTCACCCACATTGACTTGAGGCCTCTTGGCAGGGGGTCACTGTGACGTCTGGGACAGAGCCCTCTTTGGGCTCTGGAGCTGACACCTGTGTCTCATGACAGCTGAGGATTTCCTAGATGCAACTGTTACTCCAATGTTTCTCATTCCTCCTGGACACCCGGGTTATTTTATATATTGATCAAATGTTTTTAGGAACAGCCCACAGGTTTCCTACTTGTAAAAGTAGCCTAAGGCTCAGCTCTGGCTCAATCTCCCAAGTCCTAATAGGGTGACAGGTCCTGCCCCAGATGGCAGTGGTGTCCAACTGGGCAGAAGAGGTGACAGTCTAGGTACGAGTGTTTGCACACCACCTCAGCTCTGTGAGTCCCCCAATAGCCTGGCACAGGCCCGTGCTGCGGGTTTCTGATGAGGGTGAGGTGTGCCTGGGAACTGGAGGCAAGCTGACTCCAGGCAGAGTCAGCAAGGACAGGGTTCAATAGTGAGTCTTTGACCGCAATGGAAAAACACATCATTTTTTTTAAAAGGTAAAATAGTAATTAAAAAAATAGCTAGAGGCTAAGAGTGTGGCTCCATGATAGAGTTTGTGTTTAGCACGTGTCAAGCCTAGGACTCAATTCTGAGCAACCTCAACCCTGCCGCCCTACATAATTACAGTTGTCTTCTGTTCGCTGGACACTGGTTGCAGGACCTCTATGGATAGCAGCATCCAAAGATGTCCCTTACATGAAACAGTACTGAGACTGCATCGGTACAGATGAAACACTTTTACAAATGCTTTTCTTAAATATCTTTGATTTATGCATTGGCAGTTCCAGAGGACTATCTGCACTGTAACAAATTAATGGTTCTCATGAAATAAGTTTTCAGCAGCCTAGTTTGTGGGCCCTGGTCTTTCTGGCTTTTTCTCTTTTCTTTTTTTTTTTTTTATCAAGGAAGATGTTGAGGGAGGGTAAGGACTAGTGAAGGACAGCAGCAAAGGATGCTGGGCCAGAAACTGCACACTTGCTCACTTGTGCAGAGTGGTTCCCAGGCAGGGTTAGCTGAGCAGGGGCAGGATCTCAGAGCCCAGTTTCACAAGTGCTATCAACCCTCAATGAGGTATTTAAGTGGCAAAACAGAAGTAACTGGGAGCAGAGTGCTGGTGGCTCACGCCTGTAATCCTAGCTACTCAGGAGGCTGAGATCTGAGAACTGCAGTTCAAAGCAAGCCTGGCTAGGAAAGCCTGCGAGACTCTTTATCTCCAATAAACCACTCAGAAAACCGGAAGTGGAGTTGTGGCTCAAGTTGTGGTTAGCCAGAATAGCTCAAGGACAGCACCTAGACCCTTGAATTCAAGTCCCAAGACCGACCAGGGGAAAGAAAAAGGAAGTAACTTGCTCCCGGCTCCAAAGAGGAAGTCAACAGTGGCTTCAGATTCAAAATGACATAGGAGCGTGGGAGTGTCCCCACTGCAGAACATGGAGAGAAGGTGTTCTGGATTGATGGAGCAAAAGCCTGGCCATGTGAGAACACAGGAGGTCAGAGAGTACATTGATGTGGCTAAGAAGTGGGAACAGCAAAATCTGAGGCTGAGGTGGGAGGGAGAGACAGCTCTGGGGCCATGCTAAGAGGTTCCTGCCCTCTGTGGGTGGTGGGAAGTGGCGTTGGTGTTTTGGAAAGATGGATTTCTCTAGCAGCCAGGCAGGAGAAGGGATAGGAGGGCAGAGAGCAGAGGTGGTGAGTTCAGAGGTGGGACTGGCTGTGGGGTGAGATATGTGGTATCACTCCAGAGCAAATGTCAGTGGAACTTCAATGATCCCCTGGCATGGGCAGCTATGAGAGGTGGAGATATATGGAATTCAGAGTCCTAGCCTAGGTGGGCAGATAGACACTAGAAGGAGGTTTCCTGGGGTATGTTGGGTCTGAGGTCTCAGTGGACCTCAGAGGACCTTACAAATTCTCATCTGAATTCCAAAGGAGCTGAGCCCTGATGGCTCACACTTGTAATCCTAGCTACTCAGGAGGCTGAGATCTGAGTGACAGGGCCCTGGGGCTGCTTCTTCTATTAATGGAGGAGAAAGTGAGGATTGATGTCTCATGATACAGGTGTCAAGAGTCTGGCTGGGACAGCCTGGGAAAGCTGTACTTTGGAACTCAGACTGCATCTTCAGCAACAGTCAGCAGGTCAGAGAACTTACCCCTGTGGGATAGCCATCTTCTGGGTCCAGGAGGCAGATTATAAACTGTATTTGTCTCTGTGGAGGCTATTTTTGGCCAGAGGGAGAACCCGTAGCTTTCCTGGGCTGAAGTACTGTGGTAGCTTCTGAGGAGCCCAGTTAGTGCCTGCTCCATCCCAAGTCTCTCATTGGTGCCCTCAGCTGACTGACATTGGGGACTGCTGCCCTCCAGACACTTGTCGTTTATTTTAACAATCAGAACTCATGCCTTACAACAAATGGGCCTGAGAGGGAAGAAGGGACACTGCTTCCACATGGCGGCAAGCTTGCTAGAGAGGCTCCTGGGCTTCGGGGTTGGCCTTCAGACACCTGCCTTCACTCAGTCCACAGTGGGGGCCAGCTGTCCTGGGGGTGAAAACAGCCAGGGGGGAAGGGAAGGCGCTGTGAATGGATTCATCCCTCTTCCAATGATGGAGAGCAGGCCCCCAGTCCTGTGGGAAGCAGAGTGAGGGTTGATACTGAGTCCCTTTCTGCCCTGCTTCCAACTAGCTGCAGCTAGAGCTTGAAGGCAGTGAGAAGAGCAGTGTGGCAGGGTGCACTCACTTTTTCCGGCCTCAGTAAATATGGGAAGGTTCCTTTGGGCCTATCTCCTGCAGCTGTGAGGCACTATGCAAATCAGCTGTCAGTCCTTCCAGAAGTGCTTGGCTGATCACCTGGAACTTCCCACAGCTACTCTTTGGCTCAAGAGAGAAAGCGGGCTAACCAGAATAGTATTCTCTTGCTCAGAACTTAGGCAGGAGGCAAATTTGTGGGTGATAGCTAGGTTGATACATCTTCCTCCGCTGCCACAGAGAGAGGGCCTGGGTTAGAAGACCTGTGGCTTGCTTGCTTGCCTTCATGGCGCCACGAGGCAGTCTGGGAGGACAGAGGAAGTGCATCCCTGGGCTGAAACAACGGGAAGGGTCCTGGGAGAGCAGGGCTGGGCTGTTAGGAAGAAGGGGGCAGGGAGAAGAGGAGGGCTTCTGAGCTGGAAAAGTGATTAGCAGCTTTGATGAGGTTGAAGTCAGGCGAGGTAGCCCCAGGGTGCAAAAGAGGGGGCTGTGGGGGAAAGAGCTGTGCTTCACAGAGGGTGGACAAAAGTGGCTGCAAGGCACCCACCCCTCCCCCTGCCCAGAGCAGCCTGATCACAGGAGGCACAGGCAGAGCTCTGACCCCTGGAGGGCGGGGGAGTAAGACTGGGTCTTGTGTAAAATGTTGGGAGTCCTTCCTCCAGCACTAGGCACCCCAGGATCTTCAAGAATCGGGGAGAAGCTGGGTGCCTATGGCTCATGCCTATAATCCTAGCTGCTCAGGAGGCTGAAGATCTGAGAATCACAGTTCCAAGCCAGTCTAGGCATGAAAGTCCATAAGACTCTTATCTCCAATTTACCACCAAAAAGCCAAAGTGGAACTGTGGCTCAAGTGGTAGAGCACCAGTCTTGAGTAAAAAACCTAATGAACAGCACCCACTTCCTGAATTCAAGCCCCAGGACTAGCACCAAAAACAAAAACAAAAAAAGGGGGGAGTGAGGAAGATCTGGGAGCCACTCTCAACCCCCCCCCCAGGATGGTAGTAGGTAGGCTGTTTGATCAGTGAGTGTGCAAATTGGGATTTTATGGATTGCTATTCACTGCTAGAGCTGGGGCCCCCAAATTCCTCTGTGCCCCAGAATGCATAATCTGGTCCTGAGCTTCCCCCTGGGAGGTGGAGGGAAGGCCAGGTCCCCACAGGCCCCCACCCTTCCTGCTGTGGGCTTCCCAAAGCCCTAGGCTTTGTCAGTGGCAGGTTGAGCGGTTCAAATGTGCTAATACATTCCCTGGGGGCACCAGACAGTGGGACTTATCCTGCAGGGCTGTGATTGGCCAGAGTGACCATGGGAAGGAGTTTGTGGTAGCAGCTGTATGTGTGTGTGTGTGTGTGTGTGTGTGTGTGTGTTTTCACACACACTGCATGCCTGCTTGGGAGATTGCATAGTATCATCCTGCTCAGACCACTGGACAGAGACAAAGCATCTTCATCCAGCCTGGAATGAAGATCAAGCCAAGAACAAGCCATGTCCCTACTGTCAAGCTGGTTAGGGAGCCCACCCGTCTATCTTTCCATCTCGATCTCCTGGAGCTTAATGAATGTATGTATACATGTATGTATGTATATATGTATGTATGTATGTATGTATGGATGGATGGATGGATGGATGTAAGGGTAACTGCATATTTAACTGGGGTAGTGTCTGCTTGAATTGCTCCATACCTACAAATCCTTAAATTTCCTCCTCTGATTCCTCAGTACCCCCCTCCCTCACTGAGAGTCATTTTAGCCAAGGCCTGGCCAGACATCAACACTGGACATGAAGGACTGTCCAGGCCGCAGGGGACACAGCTGGGAACCCCCCCCCCGGGTTACTATTGCAGAATGCTTTTACTGTGGTCACATTTCTTCTTCCCCGCTGGTCCCCATCTGTCCTTGGGATTGGATGAGGATGAGGATGGGGGGCAGGGTGGGGGAGGGGTGTGGAGCAGCTGAAGGGGGAGGGAAGCACAGCCCAGAGGGCCAGATGACAAACTGCCCTGTCCTACCTTGTCTAGGGCGCTTCAGCCTGCCTCTCCTCTCCCCAGTCAGGCCTGAGGGGCTGGGTTGGGGGAGGGGCTGGCCCCAATGAGGCCAGGCCCACATCTTAGGAAAGCTGGAGCCCTGTGTGACTGGAAAACTATCTTGGGGAGCCTGAGGAAGAGTCCATCCTGAGGAAGGCCACCTGAAGCCTAAGGAGGGCTCTGCTATACTTCCAGAAGAAACTCAGGCTGGAGTAGGTTGGGAACTAAGAAGCACCATGCTGCAGAGCTCAGCTCTGGGAGTTGGGATTATGATATAGAACTTTCCATGTTCAGTCATGGATATGTTCTGTTGTGACAGCCAGTATGTGGCTATTGAGCACTTGGAATGCTGCAGTTAACAAACAGTCTGTGTGTGTGTGTGTGTGTGTGTGTGTGTGTGTGTGTAGTGGGGCTTGAACTCAGGGCCTCACACTCTCTCAAGGCTGGTGCTCTACCACTTGAGGCACAGCTCCACTTCCAGCTTTTTGGTTAATTGGAGATTAAGTCATGGATGTTCCTGCCTGAGTTGGCTTCAAACTGCAATCCTCAGATCTTAATTTCCTGTGGAGCTGGGATTATAGTTACCAGTGCCAGGCTTTAATTTTACCAAGTCTTCATGAATTTAAATATAAAAAGTCACACCTAGCCAATGGTTGCCATTTGGACAGTCAGGATCAGAGGATGGCTTCAGAAGTGTATGCAATACCCTGGGGTCCAAATACCATCCCTGTCCCTCTCTAGTTGTGTGGCCCTGGCCCTTCGTCCAGCCATACTGTGCTCTGACTCCAGGCTGTCCCAAAGGAAATATGGATCTTTGTGGCCTGGATTACCTGTGCCTGTACAGGGGGCTGAGCTGTCCATGGAAAATCCTGGGCCACTAGTAGACACTCTAATGGGAAAGGAGTGAATGAGGGCCTTTAGACTTAGAGGCATTGCAGGAGCTTCCTTGGGATATCAGTATAGAAGACTTCTTGGAAGAATGGGTGGGTGGGGTTTTGTCTGGAGCTCAGCACCCAGGGGATGGACAAGTGGCTGTGCCTGGAGACCGGACCCTCGATTACTTCTTCCATAAAACCAGGAAAGTGATGGTTATCTGGCCGGGATGAAACTGAATGCTGACTATGGAAGTTTTTGCAAACACTAGAAGGCTGGGAGGAAGAAGGGGCTTACCCCTCAAGAGTGCCAGCCCCTGGCCTGGCCTCTCAAGACCACAACAGATGGTCACAGCTTGGCTGTGGCCCTGACCGAGGACACAAGGCAGGGATTTCTGTGCTGCCCCTCCCCCGCCTCACGCCTTGTGCGCGCGTGCACACACAGTCCAGATTGGCCAGCTTTGCTCAGGCTGACCTCCTGCTGCTTGGCATTTGACATATGAGGAGGCCAGGACTCCCCCCCCCTCACCTACGCCCACCCCAGAGAGGAGCCGGGCTGGCGGGGAGGCCTTATACCTCCAGGAAGCTGGGTCCCAAGGGCCCTGATCTCTTTACCATGTGTCCATGGCCTTTGATGGGAATTCCATTGCCTTTTTTGTCTTTTCTCAGAGGCCTAAGGGAGGGGGGAATAAAAAGGGGACAAGAAAGGGAAAGGAGGGTGGGTGGGGTCCTGGGATGGGTGCGCTAGTCAGGCTCCAGTCAGGTTAAGGCTGTGCAGTTTCTCTGGTGTTCTCAGAGACAACCCCCCCCCCCCACAGGCCCCATCTTCCTCTCCTTTTATTTTCTTCTTTTCTTTTC